TGTTCTAAACCGCCATGTTTATGGTAATTGTTACAGCAGCCAGAAAAAATAAATACATCCCCATTTTACAGAGAAGGAAACTGAGGCTCAGAGAGGCTAAGTAGCTTACACGGGATTCATAAGCAGCAGAGATACGGTGTAAATGACACTGTGCTGCCCCTCAGTCTTTTATCACATCTCAGAGGGCTCAGCGAGCACTGTCTGCTTGCTGGTCTGAAAAGGAGTGAAAACTCTCCAAGGTTATCCAGCTAGGATTTAAGCCCTGGCCTGCAGGTCCCTGGGTGGTGCCAGTGGTTTGTGATCAGCTGCCAATCTAAAGGTTGGTGGTTTGAACCCACCCAATGGCATTGCGAAAGAAAGGCCTGGCAATCTGCTTCCATAAAGATTATAGCCAAGAAAACCTTATGGAGCAGTTCTACTCTGTCACATGGGATCACCATGAGTCAATGTCAATTAACAACACCTGCAGGCCCCACAGCCCTGGCCACTGCACTGCTACAGGTGTGGGTTGCTGAAGGGCAGCTGGTGGGGACTTGGGGAAAGAGACAAAAGATACGGTCAAAAGTAGCAGCGGAGGTGACTGAGCGAGGCATTGCCTCCCTTGGGCCGAGGCAGGACCTCAGGTTTCCGGGGCCGCAGGACCTCAGGTTTCCGGGGCCACAGCCCCTCAAGCCCAGAGGGTATCAACATGAAGACCAAACCCACGGCTGAAACATGGCCCACTTCATCTGCAACCAAGGACACGGGAGGCCAGGCAGGGCCTCAAATCCATGTGCAGGGGCCGCCTTGTCCACAGAGACTACCAGAACATGGCCCCCCAGCTCAGCCCTCCCAGCACCAGGGGAGGGAGGACAACACTGCTCACCTCTGGGACGCTTGGACGTGCAAGGCCACTCTGCTTCCTCCTCCTGAGCCCCCGGAACGCTGGGAACTCTGTCTCACAAGTGAAAGCATCTCGAATCTAACAGCTTGGTGCTTGGGCTCATCCCCCACATCATTACAGAGAACTGTCAGATTAGCCATGGAAATACGGTCAAACCGGCTGGTGATCTGAAACCCCCAGGGCCCTTTATTTTAAAAATCTAGTCGTCCAGACCACTGCCTGAGCAATTCTGCGACCGGAGGACTGAGGTCAGGCTATGGTGGGTCTGAATTTTTCAAAAGTTTGGGAACCACTGGCCGAGGGGGAGGGTGACAAGATTCCAATACAACAGGTGTGGAGGGGTCAGCAGGTGGGCTGAGATAAGGCAGACCCCAGTGCTGTCCTGATACTGGCTGGCTGGGGAGCCCAGAACATTCCTCCAATCTGGACTGGGGAAGTGGCTGCACTTGCAGGTGAGCTGTGAGGTGACCCCAAGGGAGGAAGAGGTTCCCGGGGGTGGGGAACGAGATGGGGAAAGATTAACACACAACGTGAAGGTTCCCTCCACACCAAGGAGGCCCCTGGCTGCCCGCTGCTGTTGCTTTCTCTCCCGGTCTCCAGGGAGTCCTGCAGGCTGGGCCCGCGGGCGTTCGGAAGGCAGGCTTCCAGTATTGAGAGGATGGGAAGAAAGGAGGAAGGGAGGAGGGGCACCCCAGGCAGGAGCTGCTGCGCTGGGAGGAAAGTGGGAAGCCCATTGGTGGGGCCTACGTATTCCTTCTGTGGGGGCAGTGGTGGTTCAGTGGTACAATTCTCGCCTTCCATGCGGGAGACCTGGGTTCGATTCCTGGCCAATGCACCTCATGCACAGTCACCACCCCTCTCTCAGTGGAGGCTTGCACGTTGCTATGATGCTGAACAGGTTTCAGCAGAGCTTCCAGATTAAGACAGCCTAAGAACAAAGGCCTACCAATCTACCTCTGAAAATCAGTCACTGAAAACCCTATGGGTCACAAAAGCCCGCATGGGGATGGTACAGACAGGGCAGCGTTTCATCCCATTGCGCATGGGGTTGCCATGAGTCAGGGGCAACTCAAAGGCAACTCAAGGTATTCCTTCCACCAAGTGGGAGGCCAGGATCTGAAGTCAAACAGGCCAGATTCATCTCCCAGCTCTGTCCCTGTGTGACTATGGACAAGTGTCCTCACCATTCTAAGCCTTGCCTTCCTAGTCTGCAGTCCTGGGGTGGGGGAAGGAGGTGGGGGGAATGGAAATTGCATGTGAATAAGTGCCTCAACCACCCTGCCCTCCCTCCTCTGGAGCAGCTCCCTTTTTTATCTGTTTTATGGACTACACTTTGGGTTTTTATTTATTTTGTTGTTGTAGAGAATAATACGGCAAAACATACCAATTCAACAATTTGTATATATACAATTCAGTGACATTGATTACGCTGAGCTGTGCAGCCATCCTCACCCTCCTTTTCTCAGTTTTTCCTCCCCCATTAACATAAACTCACTGCCCCCTAAGGTTCCTATCTAATCTTTAAGTTCCTGTTGTCAGTTTGATCCCATATAGATAGTTCTTAAAACAGCAGAAGGCTCAAGGCACATTCTTTACTAGTTACTGCTGTTGTTCTTGTTAGGTGCTGTCCAGTCAGTTCTGACTCATAGCAACCCTGTGTACAACAGAACGAAACACTTCCTGGTCCTGCGCCGTCCTCACGATCATTATGCTTGAGCCCACTGCTGCAGCCACTGTGTCAATCCATCTTGTTAACGGTCTTCCTCTCGAGGACCCTCTACCTTACCAAGCATGATGTCCTTCTCCAGGGACCGGTCCCTCCTGATAACATGTCAAAGTTCAGGAGATGAAGTCTCGCCATCCTTGCTTTGAAGGAACACTCTGACCGTATTTCTTCCAAGACAGATTTGTTCATTCTTCTGGCAGTCCATGGTATATTCAGTATTCTCCGCCAATACGTAATTGAAAGGATCAATTCTTCCTAGGTCTTCTTTATTCATTGTCCAGCTTTCACATGCATATGAGGCAACTGAAAATACCATGGGTTGGGTCAGGTGCACCTTAGTCCTCAGTGACATCTTTGCTTTTGAACACTTTAAAGAGGTCTTTTGCAGCAGATTTGCCCGATGCAACGTGTCGTTTGATTTCTTGAGTGCTGCTTCCATGGGTGTTGATTGTGGTGGAGCCACGTAAAATGAAATCCTTGACAAGTTCAATCTTTCCTCCATTTATCTAGGATAAACAAAGCCTTTCGGTGCTTAAAAAAAACAAAAAAAAAAAAGGAGAAGGTAGCACCGAGTTTCTGCTAAGGGTGGTGAAATTATTTGGAAAAGACAGTGGTGACGGTTGCCCAACATGATGAACGTCATCAATGTCACTGAACAGTATGTGTAAAAACTGTGGAACTGGTACATGTTTTGTTATATGTATTTCTACAATTAAAAAAAAAAGGATGATTTTGAAACCATCAAGCCAGTTCAGTCCAGCCACCGGCGTACCCCATGGGAGCCCCAGCTGTTCTCTGAATACCTCCTGTGACGAGGAACTTACTCAAGAGCTTAGCTATTGTGTGAAGATGGGAGGCAAAGGGGAACCACCAAGGAGGAGGTCTGCCTTTTCTGGTCCAGAGAATAAACCACGGCCAAGTGCTTCCTTCAAAAATAGTTTACTCTGCACATTTCCTGTAGCTTCTTCTGCCCACCCTTCCCGGTGGCAGCTAGAGTCATCAACTTGTCTTCCCCCAAAACCATGGGGGCCTTGCCACACTAGACACCCACAGTTCCCACAGCAGCAGCGACTCTTCCCTGCCTCCACCCCGCCGTCCTCGGGATGGGGCGATGGAGGACAGTTACCCCCCACCCCCCCAACATCACTTTCACTTGCCAGACTTTTTATTTTACACTCGGACATCCTCAAGCATCCTGGCTCATGGAGGCTTCTTCCCTGGGCGACCACACTGGCTTCCAAAGTGGCTGGATGTGAGGTTCATTGTCCTCGGACAGACAGCCCACCACAGCAGCATATGGCAGCCAACTCCCCCCGCTGCCAGCAACCTGTGCCAACCGGGGGGCCCCAAGGACCCAGGCCTTGGGAGATGGGCAGCCTTTGCAGCCAGTACCACTGGGGGCGTGCAAAGTCCTCCCCTGAGACACTGGTCCAGTCCCTGGGAGTTGACAGCTCTGCTCCTTGGGGCCTGATCCAGCCACAAACGTCAAGGCAACGGGTGAGGAAGGACAGGTACTCGAGGTGGCCCTCCTGAGAGGCGGGAGGAAGAGTGACTGTCACAAGGGCAAGTCTGGTGAGGGCTCCCGGTCTCTGGGCAGGAGTTTGCATGCCCGAGGCTGGTGGCCTGTAGGCGCACGGAGGGTGAGTGGCAAGACCTCGTTCTCTTGAAGAGAAGGGGCAGACCGAGGACCCTGAGCCACATGCCAGAATCCTCTAAACACCCCGGCACCTCGGCCAGGCAATTTCGCTCATTTTGTATTCCCTCTCCCAAAAAGAGAATCTGTCCTAATGAACGCTGGGAATGGCCTGCCAGTGGACATTCCTAGTGATTCCCTAGAGGCCACTGGGGGAGGAAAAAAACCATCTTATTCTCTTAATGAAAAATAATCTGTATCTTTTCCTGGGCAACTAGACAGTGGCTGACTCAGCGTCATTACAAAAATAGATCTTCTCTCATCCACACTTCTTTCCTTGGCCTGTTTGGGCTACTGAAATATACAAGATCCTTCAATCGAGAGCTGGTCGCAGACTAAAAAAAAGATTCCATGATCTGACAGAAAACAGGCCTAAAGAACACCTGGATCCCGCACGCCAGGCACCAAGAAACAAAAGGAAACGGGCGGAAGGGGGTGTTGGTTCAATTCAATGATGCAGCAAAACGTTGTCTCAAGAGACAAGACAAAACAAAGCAAACTTCCCAGCAACGGAGAGGAAACCGTTTCTGCTTGGAAGGGGCACCCCTGAGCCTTTTATTGAGACAGGAGGGAGCAGCGGCCCCGCAGAAACGCCCAGGATGGAGAGAAGCAGCCCCTGGTCCTCAGAGAGGGGTTGTGGTGGGCAGGCGGGCGGCGTGGTTTCTCTGGCCCGTGGTCCTGTGAGTGGCAGGGCTGGGTCACGTGGAGGGTGGGCTGTCCATGGTAGACAGGAGGTGGATGACCTGGGCCCGCTCAGCTGGGCTGATGTGCTGGCTCAAGTGGATGATGCAGTCCATGGCCACCTCGGGGTTCTCCTGGACCAGGCTGCAGTGGGGAGAGACAGGCTGGGGTCAGGCCTGCCACTTGGCTCAGGGCCCCTTGGGGAGCAAGGTCCTTGGTGCAGGGCCATGTCACGCTCATATTCCTGGGTAGGCTAGAACCTGAAGCTCTGAGCCCCTTCCTGCTGTGATCACAGGGGTAGGGAGAGTGGCAGCCCATGGGGCAGGGGCGTGGGTCCTGGTGAGCAGAATGCCTCATGGTTACTAACTATGTGACTTGAAACGAGGCATGTCCCCAAACCTCAGCGTCATCCCCCAAGTGGGGTCCCATGGACTCTACTAGCTACCTCATGGGGGACCCCATGGGTATAGCGGGAGTAACCCTCTGGAAAAGCTGACACTGGAATGGGAGCCAGCACCCTAAAGCCTAGCTGCTTATACTTTGGGTTCTATACCTACCTTGACCTTGGACAAGTCACTTCATCTACTACAACAAGGATCATGAACAGAAAGCCTCCCCTCACCAAGGTCTAACACCCCCCGGGCTCTGTGCCTCCCTCTGGCCTCTATGTGGGGCAGTGGGCATTGGGGCACTGAGGCCACTGTTGCTGGCGGGCCAGGCCTGAGGTCCCCAGGACCATACAGCATAGAGGGTACAAGTGGCCACTCTAGATTCAGGCAGCTGGGCTTGAATCCTGGGTCTGGGACTTGCCAATAAGGTGGGTGGGCAGGTGGGGCGGCCCCTCACCTTCGGATGGTCTTGAGGACAAAGTCGCGCTTCAGGTACTTGATGTTCTCGCGGATGGTGGAGTGCAGGCCGTCCCCCCGCTGCCAGTGCTGCTCCAGCCACTGCACCACCACCTGGTTGTTGTCCCACAGGTAGGCCTGGCGAGGGGCAGAACGTGCCTCAGAGGGGGGCCCTGCCGGCGGACCAGCCCTCCCCCAACGCCCCCCCCAGATACCTGCCCACAGCCCCAGGCCCACCTTGACAGCCCCCTCAGTCTCCATGAACCAGCGGCGCAGCATGGACTGTGCGTGCACGTGGCTCAGCTCCCCGCTGGCCTGCAGGATCTCCTGCTTGACCTGGTCCTCCAGCAGCAGGCGGCGCAGGCGCCAGTACAAAAACTCGCGCGCCGTCTTCCACTCCAGGATGTCCTGCAAACAAACCCAGGCCTGAGCCCCCGGCAGGGGCGGGAGGAGACTGGACGGGGAGGCCAAGCCCGGTGACCATTCTCGTTTTACAGGTAAAAGCTGAGGCTCAGCGAGGGGGAGGCCCATGCCAGGAAGGGGCAGAGCCAGGATCTGAACCCAGGTCCATCTGCCTGCAGAGCCGGTGTCTCAGCCAGGTCACTAGACTGCCTCCCACAGCCTCGGGTGAAGAAAGAAGTCCCCATACAAACATGGCAGCCACTTCCACCTCAACTGAGCCAGGACACGGGCTTATGCAGAAGCACAGCTGACTCTGTGTGCGCAGAGTAGAACTGCTCCATGGGGTTTTCCAGGCTGTGATCTTTCAGAAGCAGATCATCAGGCCTTTCTTCTTAGGTTCCTCTGGTGAAGTCAAGTGGTTAACCATAAAGGGTTTAAGTTGGCTGGGAAGTAGAACATTCCAGTGAGAGAAGCTGACAAGCACCAGGCATGGGGCACAGGGTCCTCTTGGAGGCAGGGCGTCAGGGCAGAGCTGGGACATTCAGTGGTTGGGTGAATGCTAGGCAGGAACAGTGGTTCCAAACCTGGCCCTGGTCCAACTGACTGGGTGATTATAAACACAGACGTTAGATTATTGTGTTAGTTGCCATCGAGTTGATTCCGACTCATAGTGACCTCGTGTGTGCAGAGTACAACTGTTCCATCCATAGAGTTTTCAAGGCTGTGACCTTTTGGAAGCAAATCACCAGGCCTTTCTTCCGAGCTGCCTCTGGCTGGGTTTGAAACACTACCCTTTTGGCTGGTAGTCCAGCATTTAACCACTTGTGCCACCCTGGGACTCCCAGAGGTTAGACCCACAAGAAACCAAACCCGCTACTGTTGAGTTGATTCCAACTCATAGCGACCCTACAGCACAGAGTAGAACTGTCCCAGAGGGTTTCCAAGGCTGTAATATTTATGAAAGCAGACTGCCACATCTTTCTCCCACAAAGCAGCTGGTAGGTTCAAATAGCTGACCTTTCAGCACTGTCCCACCAGGGCTCCTTTCCATTAGGGACTGAAAAAAAAAAAAAAAAAAGCCAAACCCACTGCCATCAAGTCAATTCTGACTCATAGCAACTCTACAGGACACAGCAGAACTGCCTCATAGAGTTTCTGAGGAGCAGCTGGTAGATTTAAGCTGGCGACCTTTTGGTTAGCAGTCAAGCTATTAACCACCGCAGCTGCTGGAATCTCTTGGGGATCTTTAAAGGGATACTGATGCCTGGCTCCCACACCCAGATAATCTGATTCAATTGCAGGTTTTTTTTAAGTTCCTCAGGTGATTCTAATGTGCAGTGTCAGCCCCATCTCAGACCCTCCATGTGTTGGATGCCAGGTGACCTTAGGATGGGTCGTTCACACCCTCTAGGCAGCTGCCAGCTCTTACGGAGATGACTCCCTTCTCCAGCATCCTGCCCGGTGTGTCATGCAGGTCAGCGAACTGCACTGCCACCTGGTGGTAGATGGGGAGCAGCAGGTCCTCTCGGGCCTTCAGCTGGCTCTCTAGGTCCTTGCGGTCCTTGTCGGAGAGATCGGACACCCCTGGGGGTAAGCAGACAAGCTGATCAGGCTGGGGCCTTCAGAAGAAACCATGGAAGGCGGCCACATGCAGCTGGGGAAGGGGGGGCACACACCAGGGCCTCTGGGACAGGTCTTGCCTCGGGTGGCCTCAGCTTTAACTCTGATGTGACTCTGAAAAAAGTTGCTCATGCAGTCTAAGAAATGCACTCGCAAACTGCAAGACAGCATTCAACATGCAACTTTGAATTTGTCCCCTTGTATGACTCACTGTGCTTGTAGGCTACTATCAATTACCATTTTTAATAAATATTGTAAAATATAAGAAAGGAATACTATGAACAACTCTATGCCAATCTGATGACTTAGATGAAATGGACAAATCCTTGAAATACACAAATTACCAAAGTTCACCCAAGAAGAAACAGATAACCTGAATAGCCCTGTAGCTTTTTAGTTAGAAAGCTCCTACTACACACGTAAAGAGGAAATAATACCAATTCTACACAAACTCAGAAAATAAAAAGGAACACTTCCCAACTCACTCTATGAGATCAGCATTACCCTGATATCAGACCGGACGATCACACACACACATACCCATAATAATCTTGTGAACATCACAGTTATAAAGACCTTGCAACTTAATATAGATACTTAAAGAGAATTACATGTAAAGATTGCAAAACAAACCTATCATTCAAACAAAATTAGTAAAATACTTTACGTCTGATTAGAAATTCTAAAGAGACATTTTGCCACCAAAATTCTGATGTTCCTCATTAGCCCTAAATACTTGAATTCTGTATTTTCTGTGCGCAGAGAAATAAATTCACTATGGTGCTGTGGTTTGTTTGTTTTTTTTTAATGTTAAAGGTATTGATTTGCTATTTGTGAACACTTAAACCATCTCATAATTTTTGTAACTGTGTTTTGGTACGTCTTCACTTTATAACGTACTAGGAAGCTCTAGCTAAGAGCTGACTGGCCCGCTCTGGACCTCTGAGAGGTGACATGTTTCGGACTCTCTCACCTAGTTGTTCAATGAGCTTCTGGCAAGCTGGGTCCATCCTTCTCATGGCCTTTATCAGTTCTTTATTTCGGAACTTAATCTCCACGGTGCCCTCTGGCTCCAGAACGCCCCCCCTGAAATAGAAGAAGAAGAAAGGATGGGGGTCTATGTGGCATTGTCCAGCCAGTGACAGCTGGCGGAGGGGAGGGGGAGGCAAGGGAGCCAGGAGTTTTAAGCTCTTTCTCCAACTCACTGTGTGAGACTTTGGACAAGTCTTTTTTCTTTGCCTTTGAAAGCCTGGAAGCCCTGAGAATACTATATGTATCTCTGAACTTCCTGGTGGCCAGAGTGAAAAGTTAATGAGGACCCCATATTTGACGCTGTTTGCTGTCTTGACCTTCCTGGAGGGCTGACCATAGCAGCCCCTGACAAGGGTCTAGGCACCCCACCCCAAAAGCAGGACAGGCTTGGCTTGTTTGCCACCATACCACAATGCCTAACATAGTACCTTGCAAACAGGAGGCGCTCAATAAATAGTCATTGAATTAATGAATGGATGAGGGAGTGGACACAGGAATAAAAAATAGAAAACCAGTTGCCGTCAAGTTGATTCTGATTCAAGGTGACCCCCTGTGTGTCAAAGTGGAACTGTGCCCCCATAGAGTTTTCATGGCTGTGACTTTTAGAAGCAGATTGCCAAGCCTTTCTTCTGTGGAACCTCTGGGTGGACTGGAACCGCCAACCTTTTGGTTAGTAGCTGAGCACTTAACCATTTGCATCACCCAGGTAGTCATGGACATAGGAATAGAGGGCTTATATTTAGGGCAACTATTTTTGAAGCTTTTCTATCTGATGAAACACCTACCACAGAGCCTTCACTTAGTAGGTCCTCAGTTACTGTACTGCAAGCATTACGGTCATTGTCTTTTCAGTAAGGGATAAATTCCTCTAAAGAAAATGCCTTAATAGCCGGGATCTTCTCATGAGGGTACCCATCCAACCATTTGTTTGGCCAGTCCTTCCTAAGAGTCAAGAACTGTGGTAGGTCCTGGATTATAAAACTGAATAAAACATAGCCCTTAAGGGAACTCATAGTTTTGGGAGAGACTCAGAGTCTAGTGAGAGCTAGGCTACTCATCATATTTTCTTTTTCATCTTGGCTGCCAGGAAGCTCAGGGGCTTTTGGTCTTTCCTTTTTATTTTTGACTGCAAACTTCCTAGGATGGAGGTGAGTATAAGTTATAAAACAATCAGAGGGGGCAGGGCCAAGATGGCAGAGTAGTCAGATGATTCCAGTGTTCCCTCTCACAACAAAGACCCGAAAAAACAAGTGAATCAATTATATATGACAGTCTAGGAGGCCTGAACATCAAAGGCAAAGTTGAAGAATTGGACTGAGTGGCAGGGGGAGGGAGAGACGGTTCAGAAGCAGCGAGGAGTTGCCAGACCTGACCCGGTGAGAGCCTGAGCCCTTCAGGCCAGATCAGCTCCTGGTGCGCGGTGAGGCAGGCAAGCAGTGGCACTCAGGAGGTGTTTTCCACACCAGGAGAGACCGAGCAGCAGAGAGTCTACTTGGCCACCCAGAACCAGTGAGAAGAAGCCCTTGACTGGCAATAGATAAGTACTTCCATCTGGCCTACTGCACAGATCAAAAACACCCACCTTCACGAAAAAGCTCTCTCCCATTTACCTCCCCGCTCCCTGCTATACACTGGGTATGGGACCAACTTCAGCAACTGCCGAGTCCCCTGGGACTGAAGTAGGACCCATCACATGCCCTGAGCCATTCTCTAGGCCTTGGAGAGTGAACAAATTAACAAACAGGGGAAAAAATAATCTGCCGGCTCCCCTAAGCCAGGAATTCAGGGTAGGTACAGCTCCTTTGCCTAAGCACAGGCATAAGGGATCCACAGACTTCGAGTGCCTTTCCCCCTGCATAGACTCGTGTGGGGCCATTGCAACAGCATTGGCCCTCGTTACCACAGTACAAAAGGATATATACCTGAAGTCTACCTTCAACTGTTTCAGCTGTGAAGTGGTAGGTTTGTGACATTTGACGCTGCTCTGCCAATTAAGCAGGGTCTTCACCTACCCACATCAGGGGCCTGAGGACTGGTGGCTCCACCCACACCACATAGCTACCTGCGACAGGGGCCCAAGAATAAGAGGTGTCATCCAGTCCTTACAGACAAAGCATCGGGTACTCATAGTCCGGCTGCAAAATCCACCCACCTACACACTCTAGGGAACAGGGACACGCTTTCCTCCTGGACACTCGGGGATGGCCGTTGGCCCCTGCCTTGCGCAGCGTGTGTCCCCCTGCTGCAGCCGGATGCCTGTGCCTACACCAATCACCCATGCCTGTCTAGGACTGTAGGTGAGAGCCTGCACCACACACTTGGTGGCCGACTACCTGGACACCTGAGCTGAATCCATATAGGAGGAGTGGGCAGACTCTTGGGCTCACATACTTAGTGGCAGGTCTGGCTACCTGGTGGCAGGACGTTGGAGCTTTAGGGGCACTGGTGATTGGGCTAGTTCTCACAAGCAGCCTATCTGGGCATATTAAAGCAAAACAAAACAAGAAGCTAGGACACACTAAGCAAACGTAAAATAAATAAACGTAACTTATTGATGGCTTGGAGACAACAGTCAATATCAAATCACATAAATAGGCAGACCATGATGGTTTCAGCAAGCTCCCAAAATAAAGAATCTAGAAATTTTCCAGAGGAAGAAAATTTCTTGGAATTACCAGAGACAGAATACAAAGATTAACATACAGAACTCTTCAAAATATCAGGAAAGAAATTATGCAAAACGCAGAACATGCAATGGAGGAACTGAAGAAGATTAGAGAAGAGCATAATGACAAATTTAACAGGCTGCAAGAATCCACAGAGAGACAGCAATCAGAAATCCAGAAGATTAACAATAAAATTTCAGAATTAGAAAACTCAATAGAAAGTCAGAGGAGCAGAATTGAGGCAATGGAAGTCAGAATTAGTGAGACTGCAGATAAAGCACTTGACACCAACTTATTTGAGGAAAAATCAGATATAAGGATTTTAAAAAAATGAAGAAACCCTAAGAATTATGTGGGATTCTATCAAGAGGAATAACCTACGAGTGACTGGAGTACCAGAACAGGGGAGGATAACAGAAAATATAGAGAGAATTGTTGAAGATTTGTTGGCAGAAAATTTCCCTGATATCGTGAAAGATGAGAAGATATCTATCCAAGATGCTTATCAAACCCCACATAAGGTAGACCCCAAAAGAAAGTCACCAAGACATATTGTAATCAAACTTTCCAAAACCAAAGATAAAGAGAGAATTTTAAGAGCGGCTAGGGATAAACGAAAAGTCATCTACAAAGGAGAGTCAACAAAGATAAGCTTGGACTACTCAGCAGAAACCACGCAGGGAGGAAGGCAATGGGATGTCATATATAAAGCCTTGAAGGAAAAAAATTGCCAGCAAAGAATTATATCCAGCAAAACTGTCTCTCGAATATGATGGCGAAATTAGGGCATTTCCAGATAAATAGAAGCTTAGGGAATTTGCAAAAACCAAGCCAAAATTACAAGAAATACTAAACAGAGTCCTCCAGCTAGAAAATCAGTAATATTAGATAACAACCCAAGACTAGAACACAAGACAGAGCAACCAGATATCAACCCAGATAGGGAAGTGACAAAAGTAAATCAAAGCTAAAACACTGAAAATAGGAAAACAGATGTCAATATGTAAAAGATGACAACACTAAAAGAAAAGAGAGGGACTAAAAAATGTATACATAGATTTTTCATATGGAGAGGGAGTCAAGGTGATATAAACAAATAAAAGACTCGTATAAACTTAGAAAAATAGGGGTAAACATTAAGGTAACCACAAAGGAAACTAACAATCCTGCA